AAATAATAAGCCGGATCCAATTCGAAAATTAAGGAACAACGCAATCATCAACATTAACTGAAATAGATAATTAGATAATTTTAGCTTATACGTCCATTATACATAAAACGCGCACGCGAAAACGTATTCTGCATTTGCGCACACTCATATGCGCAGTAGTACGCGCACGTGTTAACGCCTATGCGCATGTGTCAGCGCGGCGCATGCGCAAAAAGTTTTTAGTTTTGAGGTCCGGTTTATAGATCATTCCGAATTAACGACTTTTGACTGTATACATATAACGCATAGCTTCAAATTAAAATTTAAGAATATACATGGTGGTTACAATTAGAATTTCACTTTGAAACGATCATAAAAGGAAAACTACTGGATCAAATATTATCAAACTTTGTAACCTTGTAAAGGATGTCATGGGAATTTATTTTCCGTGAAAAAAAGAAAGTTGGAAACCTCACTACCAGGGTAAAATGGCGCTGTATGCAATATTGTTAAACGAAATATGGGTCGGAATCTAACTGACCTTTTGTTACATGGGTTTAATATGTTGTATACCCTTAAGAAACTTTGAAGTAGGCAAATTACCATTTAAAGGCGTTAAATTCGATAAAAGTTGAGTGCGCCATCCGTGTAAGTGAGAAATTCGTCCGTGAAAACCACGAATTAGCGATTAGAAAATGTGAGATCGCAAATCACTCGCACAAGTGCATACAATCTGGAAATCGTTTTCTTACAGATCGCTAATTAGTAATTTTTGAAGCCTGAATTCAGCCATAAAACATGAAGATACTGATTCAAAACGCTTTTAATCGATTTGGGCCAAAGAAGTCTCTCATGTTATCTATCTAGTTCCGGTGCATTCTCCTACTGCATTCGATTGCATAGCAGTCATTCCACACCGTTTAGTGTTGAATGACAGCTAGTATTATAGCTGAACCATTTTTCTTTGAAGAGCACTCGACAGCTGGACCACTGTGATTGCAGCTCACTTGTTAAAATGTTTCGTGATACATGAACTGCAGTAACGTGGCATTTTAGATACTACGATTTTTATGCAGGGCTGGGCCCCACCTCACGTGTGTCGCACAGTTACTTAGGCAACATTTCACGAATGAAAGTCTTATAGGCCAACACTTCCCCTCTTCCCACCAAGACCTCAACCTCTGTGACTCTTGGCTATGGGGTTATCTCAAAAGCACTGTTTATGGTGATAATCTAAGCAATTTGGCAGAAATGAAAAATGTGATACACTGACATGTCCGTAACATTCCTCCTGATATGCTAAGAGCTGCTGTCGAGAATACAGTAACAGGATTTAACTTACTTTCGGAAAATGTTGGACGCTACATTGAACCTGCTTTGTAACACGTTTCGGAAAATATTAAACGCATTTTAAACAGATGTTTTCGTGTCGTATTTCATTTAACAATATTGTATACAGCGCCATTTTCCCCCTGGTGGTGAGTTTTTTAACTCCCCCCCCCTGTAGAAAATAAATTCCCATAACCTCCTTTACATGATTCCCAAGTTTGATAACATTTGGTCCGGTAGTTTTCTTTTCATGACCATTTCAAATTGGAACTTTAATTATAACCATCATGTAAATTAAACTTTAAAAGTTTGACAGTTTGTTTCAAGTCCCAGCTTTAAAAATATATACGAGGGCTATCCAGAAAGTAGATTACGTTTTGGAATAAAAAATTAACAAAGTATAGGAAACAAATTTTATTATATACAGATGAAAGCCACACTCAAATACTACTTTTCTACATAGTCACCATACAAATTAAGGCATTTATCGTAGCGATGTACGAGCTTGGAAATTCCTTCGTCGAAAAATTCGGCCGCCTGCGCCTTCAACCACTTCGTTACCTCTTCTTCTTTTCGCTGATGATTTCGTGCAACAAACTTCGCGAAATTTGTGGAAAACTCAAAGAAAGTTCCGTTATTGTGAAATTTCGATTTTCACGGACTTTAGCATCGACTTTTTCGAGAAGTTCGGCGGTCACTATGCTGGGTCTCCCACTTCGATCTTCGTCGTGAACATTGGTTCGGCCATTTTGAAATCTTATGACCCACTGACGCACTCCACCTTCAGTGATAATGTTGTCCCCATACACTTCACGAAGCTGCCGATAGATTTCTATCGGTTTACAGTTTTTTGCAGTCAGAAACCTTATTACTGAGCGCACCTCGCAGCTCGCGGGATTTTCAATTAACGCAGACATTTCAAACCGTCACAGTATCTGAACGGAGCACAGCACGAACCTCTCACTAGTACGGCTAGATGCAGACTGAGCTGCGCAACGCTCTGACCCCAAGATGGCCGCGCTAGCCCCGCCCCTAGCGGACACAGACGGAAACGTAATCTACTTCCTGGATGGCCCTCGTATATAAATATAATCTTTTATATTAATCTTCTTAGAAAAAATGCTTTAAGAAGCTAATTTTTCCCTCGTGTTACATATTGTATAAAAAATCATGATCTTTGATATGATTTAGATTGTTTCAGCCGATATAAGAATCGGGTTACTCGGTGGTGAAGAATAAACACTGCTGGACTGTTTTATTTCTTTGTCATTTAGCAAAAAATTCTTTTAATTAAAATATTTATCCTTTGGACTTTGCTCTATACCTTGTTTATAGTTAAAATGTCTAGAAAATGAAAAGCTGTCTTCAGCTGAAACACAGTTGATGCAATTGATATTTTAAAAAATTGACAAGAATGCAAAATTTATGGAAGTCTAGCAATCGAAAAATCTTAATTTTCTTTTGTGAGCACTGAAAATAACTGTAGAAGGAAAGAAGAAAATTAGGGAGAAAAGTAAGCAAAAATTTGCAGGGAAATTTGGCTGTCAGATACCAAGATATTTCAAAAAGTCGGACGCTTTTGAATATACTTTCAGGTTACTTCAAAGAATTTAGGTGTTCAAAGAGAAAACACTTGGGTGTGTACACCAGCAAATACCATCAATTGAGCTTGTGTTATCAGAAAAGACAAAAACGATATCATTGCAGATTAAAGTGAAGAGCGACTGGTTTTAGACTATATGGTTGTATAAATTTAAATTACGTTATAGAACATCATATCGTACCATAAATGGAGAATCCCATGATTTTCTCAGTCGAATTATTTGAAGATTCAGGAGTTTATCCAGTATTGTATGTGAATGTCACCTAAAGGCGTTTTATTTCCCTCCTGATGAAACAGCGGCCGAGCGGTAAAGTCGCTGAACTCTGGTAGTTCGGTCCGAGGTTCAAATCCCGCGAACGGGCTGGCTGCATGGGCGTTTTCATGGTTTTCCCCATGTGTAACGTGTATGCGAGCCAGTTTTCCTTAGAAAGTCCTCCACGAAGGCATCCCTCCCCTTAGGCAGATAGCCCTAGTGTGCTTTGTCATAATTAAATAAACCAAAACCTCTTGATGAAACCAGTCTTTTCTTTCATCTCATACCGTCAAAATGTTTAGCCTTTAAAGATTGATAAAGGCTCTGACCAAATATTGATGAAATGGATTGAATTGGATTATAAAGTTACGTCAAAGCAAGGTTATCTGCCTAAAAGAAAAGAATGCCTTTGTGAAGAACTTTCAAAGGAAAACCAGCTGGCATACACGGTACACATGAGAAAATCCACGAAAACATCCATGCAACCAGCCCGTTTACCGGGATTCGAACCCCGGAGTGAACTACCAGTGTTCAGCGACTTTACCGCTCGGCCGTTTGTGGGCCTTTATGAAATGGAAGGCGATAACTTTATTTAAAATGATTGTCAGAAATATCAAGATGTTTCGAAAAGTTGGATACTTTTTAATATACTTGCGGAATGCCTAAAGAAAAAGAGCAAGAATAAAGTAGAATGCCTGAAGAAAAAAAGAAGAAAAAATAAATTTTTGGATAAAATTTAGTATTTGTATTTTTTTTTAAATTTAAAATTTTTTAATCTTATGATATTTGATTCTTACGATTTCAAAAATAAAATTTGACTAAAATATGAATAACATTTAAGAAACCAAATGTAGGATAAAATAGTGTAAAGCAATGGGCACAATGATAAAACTGTTTTAAAGCAGTGTATGCAAGTCATCCTAAGTTAAAATGTCGGTTATACATCTCTCTTATTTATATATATCTTTTCTGAACGGAACATTGAAAGGCGTGTTAACTATGCTTTACTGTGTTTGCTCTTTTAATATATGCAGTTTTCAAACGCATCGTAATCTGGGTTACAACAAAGTATTCCTCCGAAAGAAATGCAATTCAAATAAATAAAATCAAATTCTGGAAAATTTATTTAAAATGCTCAGTTCGAAGGAATAAATAGAAAATTTTAAAACAATTATCTGAAGAGACAATGCAACACAAACAATTAAAATAAAAGTATAAAATTTAAAAATTACCTAAAATAATAACTATGACAAAAAATATATATAAAGAAAACTATTTGAAAAAAAATAAATGCTGCACCTTTATTTACGCAGTTCGAATAGGTAAATAGAAATTTTTAAAACAGTTATTCGAAAAAAACCATGCAACTTAAACAATTAAAATGAAATTCGAAAAAGAAAAAATTACTTAAAATAATAAGTTTTAATTAAAAATACAATATAAAGAATATTATTTGGAAAAAAGGAACGATGGTGACTTTTTTCCCTCTCACGGGAAAGGAAACTAGGTTGCCATATATTAAGAAGTTCGCCAAGTGAACTATTCTTGGTGCAAACTGACAAAATAGTGCCAACATAAATTTGTGAATTTCTCCGAAAATTTTGCTCCAAATTTTACAAAATTTCATATTTAGGCGTAATTTGAGTCGTAGAATCGAAATATGTAAAAAAGTTGGTATGTTATTTCAGAAAAAGTCCGATTTTGTGTCAAAATACCTATGTTAGAATAGTGCAATATATAAATCTAATATATATCCTAAGTCACGTTTTCGAGACATGAAGAACGCAGTTTGAATTTTGTCAATCGGCCCAGTAGATCGGGAGATATAGGACTGTCTTTTTTTTTTTTTTTTTTTTTTTAGCAGTGTACCTACCTCACTTAAAACAACCAGTCACAAGTGTGAAGTTCCCTAACAGCACTTTGGAATTCTAGATGGTGATCCAGAAGGCAAACAGAAAAATTTACTCAACTCAGTTTCAAGCAAAGGTAATGTAAACAGCTGCCTAGGATACCAGCTTAATTTGACATTAAGCTTGCTAAAGAGTGAATTTCTAAACAGTTCAGATGCAGCAAAAAAGGAAACAAATGCTACATGTTTCTAAGAAGCACAACTCTGCTTACAAAAGCCGTCATTTGGACATATGTCGAAAAGCACGCATACACACACACATATATATATATATTAAAGGAATAAATAATTTCAACATTCACTTATCAGTATTCCTATATAGTATATATGTATACATATATGTGAATACCGACACGTCAATACTGAAATTTATTCCTTTAACCCTCCAAATGGCCAAGGTTTTAGCTTTATATTCCATAAGTTTCAAAAAAGACCACAAGCAAATGTTATTTTCTTGATTATAAATATAAAAAACCCTCCTACTTTGTACTTTTTATGTCAATATATATATTAGCTTAATTGTCTGAATACATTTTAAAACGTGTGTGCATGTACTTAAATATACCACGACAAATATTTTTTAAAGTATATGCCCAGGTTGGCTGCTTCATGGGTTAAAAAATGCCATTTATGTTTTGTTATAATTTTACCAGTCTAAAGTTATCTTGACAAGTCGAACTATTTCTTTATAAGGGATAATCATTAATATTCATTTTATTTTATTTACTCTTCTAAGAGTTTTATGTATGCTTTTAATCTTCCTTTGCCTTTGTATTGAAAGAAATTGGTTACACAATGCCATCTATCATTAAGCCACTTCCCAATTTGTTTTAAAGCAATAAAACTCCTAAAATTTAAGTGACAAACACATCTACATGAGCAATGTTAGTCAAAATGTATGGTCGGAATGCAAGCTGTGAGAAGTTAAATGGTAATTTTGCACTGTCACATTTAAAGAACTAATGAAAGGAGATAAAATATTTTATTAACAGGAATGTAACTGATGCACATGCTCGAAAAATTGCTTAAAAGGCCTTTTGCAAGGTGTAATGCAGGCAATCGTACATTTGCAAAGACACCAAGCATTTCCCGAGTATCACCGGCAATCCTGGTGACTAGATCCATATTGGTTTCATAAGTGCATTCATAGATTAGGCTTTTCACGTGGCCCCACCTTGACCAATCCATTTCACTTCAAATTTCGTAGTTCATATAACTAACCATGCTCCTGACAAACCACAGTAGGAAATACCATTGGTTGCAAGGGCCAACTCTTTATACCATTTACAGTGCCACCTAGTGGTTTGGCATTTGCATTCTGCCCAAATTTTCTATGATGAATGATTCATTTTCAGATTCACCCTGTATACCTGTTCTGTTCCTAACCATAAAATAAGAGAAAAATATATCAGGTCCTATAAGTTTAATTGAAGAGTAATGTTTTATTGATTAGTTGTGTTATTATGCATTTGTTTACATTCATTTATATTTTGTGTACATTTCTTATGTATTTTATATGAAAAAAGGTTGCTTTGTATAAAATCTTCTCCAGCTTTATATAAAATAAAAATGTCTCAATTCGTTCACTCTATGTTATCAATCCAATTTCATAGCAGGCAGTACTTGAATCTACAAATCACAGTGGGGGAAAAAAATACTGAATGCACCTTGAACATCATATCATAATAAAATTTCATAATTATTTATTGTATCACAAGTTTAATGAATTTATTATACAGTATTTAAATTACATATACATATATACAAATTATTTTAATACAGTTTGTTCTATATAAATTCATGTATAATGCATTTGTTACAAATATCCACAGAAATTCAAAGTAGAAGTCAAATGATCAAATTTACTTGAACAAACTTACAAGCATTTATTACTGAATATTTATCCACATAATGCTTCAGTGACATAGTTATATTTAGGAAATAACTGCAAATAAGTAAATTGTTATTCAGTAATATCATAAAATGTTAATGGTTGTAGATACCTCAACATCCCTTTAAAAAAATAAATGGTATTACAATGGAAATATCAAACATATATATTTGTCCATTTCTGGCTTGTTTCAAACTGATTTTAGTATAAATATTTTTGCAACCTAATTCATAACAATTTCTATTATATATGATTATACAGTTCATTTTTAATTTGGTAAGAACTATAGTTTAGATTTGGGTTATTGTTTATTAAAAAGTCCTTACAGGTATTTCTGTATCTGAAAAAAGTAATAAAATGAAAATTAATTAATTACTGTGATTTCAGATACTTAGCTCAAAAGTTCCCAAAATGGGCAACATGAAATAATCCCATTTTTTAAGAGAAATGTTATATTTAGAATGACACGAGGTTGTGCTTGATTTGACAACTTATGTGGTTTTAAAATTATGCTATTATAATGATAAAAAAAGATATAGCAATTAACACTGGTTAGAATAGAATTTTACATCATGGAATTCACCGACATTTAAGTACCCACAAAAAAAGATGCAAAATGTAATGAATCTTAATTCCGTGTCTGACATATTTTTGTAAAACTGGATTTTCAGCACTCATTGATAAAATATGAAAGTATCAGGAGAAAAAGAAAGTGAAACAAGAAAAGAACTATTTCCAATTTGATTCTAAGATCTGAGGTGTACAGCAAACAAGAAGGTCACCCCTCCAATTAATTATGATTTACTTATTCGATTATATTACTGTTCAAAATTTGCAACTATTTAATGCATTTTACGTAAACTGTTAGCACAGTTGAAATCATACTAATTAAATAAATCATGTTACACTGATTTTTTTTAACTTAGCTTAATCAATTGCACACTGTATACCTTTGTTTTAAATCTGGGCAACGTGAGAAAATTCTGATATCGTAAGGGTGATGAAAATTAAGTCTGGGAACCACTGTATTAACCTTTTCATTGGAAGGTCATTATTTGTGTTTATATTTAAGTCTTTTAAAAATGTTAACAGCTGAGATAAAATTGAAATAATATGCAAGTCAGTTATTACGTAATGAAAAGTATTAAAACATTAATAATCAATGAACTACAACCAAAACTGAACTTAAAATACTTTAAACTCTTTTCTCCATTTTAAACTTGCAACAGATATTTATAGAGAACTTTACTGAATTTATATTAGCACAAATTAGACATTTTAAGTTAATTATTCTAGTTTTTGGCAAGTACAAATAAACATGCATCGTTAATAATATTTTATTTGTTAATACAAAAATTTGATTCAGTTGCGAACAATGCTTTCTGTATCAGCATTTAAAAAAAACATAACTGTTAAAATAGTTCAGGAATGATTTGTGTTCATAACAACTTTCAGTGATTCACAATTGTATCTAATTCTGCATAAATACATATATTAAACAGCTGTAAATTATCATTAATGTAAATGCTTTACAAATTATCTATTTTTTAATCAAATTTAATAAATACAAAAGCAGTTTTTCTCTGTGTGTAATATTTTAAATAAAAATACTAAAATTCAAAAAATACATTTATCACCATATAAGACTTTTATATGTTAAAATTATAAATAAAGAGGTAAGAAAATGAGGTAAAAACTTGCATTTTCAGTAAGAAGAGTTAAACTGGTATGTTTTTCTATGAAAGGGTAACAAAGAAAACATAGCACATTGAAAAAATGAGAAAATAATTTGAAATTTAACATATAAAATAAAATAAATAAATAAACTTCACTCAACATGATTAAAAAAAAAGTTGAAAATTTGAAATTAAACCATTTTTTGCTAGTATCAAAACTTATCTACAACAACGATTATTCTATTTAAAATGATAATATTGTAATATAATTATCCTATTTTATAAATTCAAAATTTAAAAAAACAATTCACCCAGAAAAGGATGAAATGTTATAAAACATTTTCATAATCTAAAAAAATTACCAGATTTAGAAAATGCCTTATAATACTTTATTTATCAAAAACATTTGCATGCTTTGTGTGATACTTGTCTTTGCTGTTAAATTTCATAGAAATAGTTCATATCAATTATATCCCAAAGAGTTTTTTTTTTGGGGGGGGCTTAAAATGAGATTAGAATCTTGGAAAATATTTTTTGATAGGTGTGTCAAGTTTTAGAAGAAAAATTTTTAGCAGTCCAACTTGTTTCTCTCAATCCTATTATTACTTGTATATAATCACAACTAATGGTGATCTTTCTTCATTCTACTTAGAAATCCTTTTTTCAGTGTCCTGTCTGACCCAACCTATGAAAGAAATTAAATATGTTAAAACAGAGAGAGAAGGGTGACACTCTATTTTAAAATGTTCATAAAATTTTTTACCGTTTAACAAACAATAAATGTAAAGAGAACAAAAAAATTCCAGATGCCCATATTCAGTGAAGGATTACGTTATCCAAAATTTGATAGCTCTAAGTACTGTTGTTTTATCACAATGCAAGAAACATACATACATTTATGCAGATTCTTCATTATTTAATTTCTTTAAATATAACATGGGGCAATAATATTTGGTGGCAACAATTTCAAAAGTGAAACAGACATTTTAAGTTTTCAATGATAAAAACGAAAGTAATAGCTCCTTTGCGATAACTATAATAACAGCCATAGAATAGAATGAAGATATTGATATGAACAGATAAAAAAAGTTTTCAGTATTAAAATTTAAGAAAATATGAATTTCACATAATAATTAAAAGGCACACATGATCAAAACAAAATAAATGCATAAATGTTTCAGATTGGTACTTTAAATTCATGTTTAAACATTAGTAAAAAAAAAGGGGGGGCTTCCATAGACAACCTATCTGCTTTGCCAGCTGGAACTGGAATGACCATGCAGATGGATTCACCAGGAAAGCACCTATTTTACTAACTCTAAATATGGTTTTACTATGTCAACCTAGCCCAAAATATCAATTTGCCCAGAAAGGCATTAATTACGTTTTGAGATTTTGTATTGATTCATTATAAATGGTGAATCACTTTTTAAATTATTGCCACCAAATATTATTGCCCTTTGTCATATTTAAAGAAAAATAATGAAGAATCTGCATAAATGTATACATGTTTCTCGCACTGTAATAAAACAATGGTACTTAGAGCCATCAAATTTTGAATAATGTAAGTCTCCATCTAAGTATGGGTATCTGGAAGCCCAAATTTGGAATTTAATTTATTATCTATTTCATATTTTGTAATGCATCTGTAAGTTTTGAATAAGAAACTCAACGATTTCAAAGCGAGCAATGGTAACACTGTACAGAGGGAAAAAAAATTTATCTCCAGCGTGCGAGACTGCATATCGGAAATTCTAAAGCTATGCTCTTTTAAATATTTTATGATATTGCTGTTGAATTGAATTTTATGATTTTAGTGTGAAAAACATGATATTTGATAAATAAAGGTAACACATGGTGTAATATAGAATCTGAAAGCCTTCAGACTTTTTGTAACTTAGCTTCTTTTTTTATTGTTTTTTCATTTTAACTTAACGCAATAATTTCAGCAGTAATGTTTTGAAAATCTGCAAACTACGCATTTATGAAATAAGACAACTGTGAACTAAAACAGATTCAAATAATATGCTAAATAAGAATACTTAGAGATACAGTCAAAAGTCATTAATTCGGACACCCATAATCCGGAATGATCTATAATCCGGACCTCAAAGCTACAAACTTTCTGCGCATGCGTCGCATTGACGCATGCGCAGAAAGGCATTTACGCGTGTGCGTAAGATCTTTACGGCTGCGAATGTGCGTGTGCACATGCGCATAATACGTTTACGCATGTGCGTTTAATGTATAACAGACGTTATAAACTAAGCTAAAATTATCTAATTCAGTTAATGTTGCAGATTGCATTGTTCCTTAATCTTCGAATTGGATCCTGCTTATTATTTCTTGCGGACTGTTAGAGCAATTTTATAAAAGTAAGCTTAAACTTTCGATTATGTCAAATAGAATTTCCGATATATATTTACTAATATGTAAAGGATCTACAAAGCGAGAGTATGTTTCAAAATCCGAAATCTGTTTATCAATTTCACACTGCTCTGCGGGGGGGGGGAATGAATTGGAAGTTGATCTGTCAGCACTATCCTTATCTTCAGGGCAGATATTTTTATTTTTATTTGGCTTATAATTCCTTACTAAATGTAGTATTTCATCTCGATGCACTCCGTCTTTGATATGATTTAAATCAAGTTCCTCGTCATTATAATTCGCTTCCGATAGTGAAGAAAGTGACAGAGAGGTTATTGAAAACAAAAAAATTTCGATTGACAAATTAGTCGGTATTCTCAACACAGCAATTATAGGACTTGAACAGCAGAACTTTGTAACTGAACAAGAAATTATGTCTGTTTAATAGAATTAAAGAGAAAATATTATCACGTGAAACGAAGCAACTTAAACAACTTACATTGAAAGAAATGTTTAATAAAGTAAACAAATAAATATTAAGCTTTTTTTTATACCCTTTAGATCATAAATTACGGTTTCATATTTTTTAATTTTGTAATTTCTGCATGCCATCTTACCAGATTTAAACTGATGATCTATAATCCGGAATCGCCGAAGTCCCGACGAGTCCGGATTAACGACTTTTGACTGTACTAAGAAAAATTATTTCTTGTTGTCTTAATATCTCCAGTAAGACATACATGTTTGAACTTACAGAATGTGTTCCAAGTAATATGGAGGCTATTTCATCTTCTTGAGGTTGATTGTCTTTTTCTGGAATGTTACGAGATTTTAATAACTTCTGCTTGATAGCCTGAAAAGTAATTCAAATATAAATTAGAAAAGCATGTATAAATAAATAAATGAAATTTTATTATATGTCACATTTGCTGTCATTATTTACATACTTACCATTGTTTAAAATTTAATAACTGTCTGCATACAGAAACATGTAGCTTCACATAAGACTATTAATTTTCATTCAGGGCTGAATTCATATGTAATCTGAATTTTTTTAATAAAAATCAAATACGTCAATTCAAACTGTATTGTTTTATATTAATTTGAATTTGACAGTTAGTCTTAAATTTTATCATTAAATATAATTTCTTGTACATGTGTGTATGTGCATGCATGAAGACTTTGTCATATCTAATACACTGCATTTTATAATTTTAAGTTTCTATTGAAAATAGTAACTTCTTTAATAATTTAAACAAAAGATTGAATTTATAATTGTTTTTAGTCTGAAATATAATGATTTTCACTAATGAAACAATTTTCATTAGAATAAAGTAATTGTGATGTAACAAATAGCAGCTATTATGAATTGATAGCAATTCAACAGATTGCCAAATTTTTTAGCTATTACAACTTGTGAGTTCTGTGACTGTTAAATGTTTTGCTTTTTCATATAATACTGAATTAGCATTTTGTTTATTTATTAAAAACCCAATATTGCACATTAATTATATATTTACCAAATTTAAAAAAAAACATACAGAAATATACTCTCATCATTGGTTTTAATCAGCGTGAGTAAAAATCTTGCATATCCTTAGAAAGTTTTAGTACATCAGGTCTGTAAATAGTTATTTTAAGTTTAAGACACAATTCCAAATTACAATGGTATCAGTAGCTGGAATATCAATTTACATTTAATGCAGTTCTGATTAGAAAATGATTGCTTTAAAAAATACATAGAACTAAAGATAATGAAAACACTAAATGCAAATTTTTTCAACTTAAGCCATAGTTGTAAACCTAGAAATATGAAGACTAGGGAGGTTTTCACACAAACAGCAATAACATTTCAAAAAGAATTCCAAATCGACTGAAATTCTCTTTATAATACCCGACTCAGAATATATAATGATTTATAATGTGATTCTAATGTAAAACATTAATTTTTAATTAAATAGTCTAAAATTATGTTCCTTGGCTAATTTCATTTTATAATTTACACTTAAAGGGAGGATGAAAACCTTTATTTATCTGAATTTGAGATTTACCCATAGAGTGGGGATGGGCCTTTATTATTAAAAAAGTATTTTTAAATACAAATAAAATACAATTAATGTACATACTATTGTGTAGATAAACTTATAACATATCTTATAATATATAGTTCAATAAATGTATCATTTATTCATGTACTAAACAATTCAAATAAAATAAAATATAAGAAAATTATGTTGAAAATCACTAGGAATGGAAGAAATTAATTTAGTTTTCATTAATTCAATAAATTTGAACAGGGAAACATTTTTTTAAAATTTTTTTAAAAACGTAATTCTCTCAAGCAGAAGTTCTTAAATTCTTAAATTTAAGACTAAAAATAAAAAGACAAGAGATAGCATATGTGATTAAAGATAAAAAAAAGCCGTGTCATGATATGAATCTGGAGGACTATTCCAAGTAATGAAAATCATTAAGTCTTCCTTCTGTAGATCTTTTTTTAGCAAGCTGCTTAGGCTACAAAAATCAGATTGCATTTCTTTTAAAATAAAATAGCTTCTAGCCTAGAAAATGGAACATTCCCTCTTGCCTTGTAATTCATAACTTAGTTGATTCACTTGTGATGTAATGTCCACCATAAGCTACAATTTTTACAAGTGACCTTCAGTTAATTCTGGATATTCAACACCCTTTTTGTCAAGGAACAGTTTGATTTCATCTATGCCAGCTGCAAAGAGTTTATGACTTCCTCTATGGAAAGCCACCGAGCCCGTTGCACTGGATAAAATCTGAATATCCGTATTCTAGTCCACTTAAAAATTCTTTATAACTGCTGATGGTAATGCAGTTGCTTTCATGGCACTGATAATCTGAATTACCAATTCTGTAATTTGACCTTTTCTAGAAATGTTAGAGTATGTGGTGATGGTTTACGCTACAATGCTCCAAACTTGTCAGAATGTTCATCAAAAGGAAAGCGAAAAACTGTAATAACCATAGAATTAACTTTAATTAAAATTAAAAGGCAAAATACAAAAAGAAAATCTATGATGATAAACCAACGTCAAATGTTGACCACGAACAAGCAGGAACAGTGACGTGCAAGTGAGTCTCTCGGCGAAAAGTTCAAGTCTATACTTGCACATTATAACAAGTGCGCAGAGGTAGAGCAGCAAACATGGATACTGCATGCAGATGTCAAAATACAAATATTCTCGTCGGAATGCAAATACTCCACAACAAGCACAAATTGCTTCCTTGTAAAATGTACAATGGATAGTACTCAATTTTTAAAAAATTTTAAAACTGAAACAAAATTCTTTTTCACTTCCTTGTACTTTTTCTTTTTCCATAATCAGTTGCACTGATTGTTGAAGGTTGAGGTATTTATCAAAATATCTAAAATGAACCAAAATTCAAAATTTTAAAACCAATTTGGAGAAACAACTAGACGAAGGGGGACTGGTAATAACATTTACATAATCGTAAAAAAAACTGTAGTTTGAAAGTCAGCGTCTTTTCTTTTTTAAAATTATTCACATGCTTATTCTTGGCATTTCATGCAGTATAATATCAACATTTTACTATCCACAAATTGTTTTCAACAATAACAGTATGTGTTCTACAATTAAAAGAATTATTATGGTTAATTTTTGATAATGTTAATGTAAATAAATTTAAAAACCAATATCTGAAAACATTAAATTAAATCTTGAAACACATACAACTTTTCTAAAAAATGCAGTCAGTCTAAAATTGAACTTTACCTAACATTCAATTTCAACTTGCATATTTCTTCTCAATTTATCTGCAAACATGCTTTTATTTATGTCATTATACAGTTTTTATACATCCCTTTAAACTGAAGTCTCTGAAGAACTGTAAGTACAGCATATTTTAACCCTTAGTGTGCATGCTTGAATGCTACTATATGCTATATGTGAACATGTACTGTTCAGCCAACTACAATACACTTTTTTCAATTTGTAGGGATGTCTATCAGTGGCTACGACTGCTAAACATTGGTAGTTCAACACAAGCTCAAATATTGGTTAGTGGGTTGGCTGCATGTGTAATATAGCAGTTTGCCCTATGTGTAATGAGAATACAAACCAACTTCCCTTAGAAAGTCCTTCCTTCCCTTAAGCACTTAGCCATATGTTATGAAACATTGAATCCTATTCAGCTTACACTATAGAATATTTTGCCACTTGACGAAAAGGACCTCATATCACTTTCTGTCCAGCATACTTTCCTATTGCATCACCAACAAACTAATACTGAATTTTGCTTGAGATCTAAATTTTAAGTCAACACGCTCTGTTTCCATATAGAAAATGTTCTTACAGCCTTTTAAAAAAATGCTAACATTTGAAAAAAATTAGAACAAATTATATAACTTTACCTAACATAAAAATGCATTTTTACAAGATCAGATAATGGCAATTCTTAAGATATTTTCAACTCAGTTACAGACATCTACTAAAATGATTTTTTAAAACACTCACTAATCTTATTATAAAATAATAATGCAGTTATATTTCTAATATTTAAAATACGATTTTACTTGAGAAAGCAAAATCCTCTTTGCATCATTCTTTAAAGCCATTAGCAAATCCAACCAAGTCCAAGTTTTATTATGGTATTCAAGTGTTGACAAAACCAAGCTAAGATCATGCACATCTTCTATATTCTTCTCTTTTCTTCCTTTATAGCTAACACGGATAGGAACTTCAGGTATTTTTATAGAAAAAAATGTGTGATTTTTATCTGCTCTTTCCTGCAACAGAAAATCAAAATTATAATATTACAGTCAAATATGCACATTCATGATGACACACCTTTTAAAAATAAATCAGCATAAAAATTTTATTAGTAAAAACATAGAAATCTTTGTATAAGTCAAATTAAAGGCTTGCTTGAAATATAGGTAAAGTTTAAAAATGTATATGAATGTTGAAATTTTGTGCAATAAAATACTACATGGACACACACATATATATATTGCATATATATCAGGTGGCCCAAGATAAACCAAACCCAAAGCAAGTTAACTCTCCGATGTCTGGTTCAGCTTATCTTTGGCTACTTAATATGATATTGCCTAACACTTCATGTGCTTTGAGTTCAATTTATCTTGCGCTATCCTGTCTACCTGTGCATACATACATACAGTTTGTTATTTATGTTCTAAATGTTTGTGATTATATTCTATTAAAAAGTTACTCGTGTGATCTTCACAAAACTTGATATTCAAGTAAAACTTAAGGCTATAACTTAACTGAACTATTAAGAAAACTAGCATCACATTTTATTTCTAAAAAAGTCCAATTTTATGTTAAAAAAACAGGTATTAATGCAATTCTGTATAGTATAAATCTTAAATATACATTCTAAAATATCACTTTAAAACATGAAAATGCAATTTATATTTGCATTTTCATCATTCAACCAATTTCAACAAAGGATATAAAATTCTCCTTTTTGCACAATGCCCATTTATCCCATTTGAAACTAATAATGAAAAGCAAGCTTACAAACTATAATAAATGATTCAGGAAGTAAAACATACCAAATCTATAGCAGGATAACTGAGATATCTTTATTAAATTGAAATGATATAAACTTTATATCAAGGAAAAGAACATGATAAAACTCTTGAAAGTGTAATATATGCTTTGCATAAGTCTGGTATGCTTAAGCGCAGCCCGAGTGTTTTCTATTCCTTCTTCAAGTTCCTACAGATTTTAAAGAAATGGTCTCCTTTGTATTACATATGTGCAGGGAACATCTTAAGTATGCTTAATGCAACCAAATTCTAGAAGATATGCAGACCATGTTGTGCAGAAATATTCTTACTCATCACTACTTAGTCCTGTGTGAGTAAGGACTGTGTGGAAGTCCTTATTTTAGTGTAAAGCCACTGATTTGCAAATGGTGCTGGAATTGTGATGAAATCATAGGGGTGCTGACACATGAAATTCTCCACTTTTATGCTAAGGAATACAGAATTAAATCTAATAATGATAAACTGCGGATGTGCTAGTAATGAAAAGATTGTGCTAAGACAATGGGTTTAATATGTTTACTATTAGCTGCTATCTTGATATTTTTTGGAGTGTTAATAAATCTTTTTCTTCTTATGAGTTTATTTATTTATTTATTGTCACATGAATCCTGCAATTACAATTAATATTTCATCCATTTTTAAACTGTCATTATCAAGTAATAAGGAGAAACTATGGCCACTGGAGCCTCCAGAAATTTCCTGAATTCCTGATAGTGTTGCCCACCGCAGCACCTTAAGACTCCAGTGACGATGATCTTTATACCAATGCAATCTACTCTGAATGGCAGGCATCTGATTAAATCTACTGCGAACTGAACACATATGATTTGCTTCTGTAAACGTAACTAGATTTCCTCAAAAGAAAATGGTTCAAGCAGATACATGGGTAGAAGTTACACTTGCAGTCTGCAGTAATTTGTGTGAATGTAGAGTTTCTGCTTCGTTCTTCTTAAAGCTGAAGAATACTATTATTTCTTGCAGCTCTGTTCCTTCTCTATTAGACATATAGAGATGTTCTTCTGGAATTCTAACTTTTATTAATTGCTAGATGATTATCTTTGAAATACTCAAGTGTTATCACAACTTCAGAAAACTTTGCTCCCAACTGACAAAGTTTTTCAGAAAGAAATCCAAAGTTTCCTAAAACTACCTTGAAAAAGGAAGAGGGTATTTTCTTTATTTTAAAGCTCCTACTACTTTATACTTGCATTTATACACTTTTAATACATTTCCTTAACCCTTCAGTGGTTGTGAGATTAAGCAATTCTTTCTTCCCAAATACACACAATATTTTTCAGCTGTAAATTTGTAATGTGAGCTGAGCTCATTCATAACCATAAAATGTTAACTTCTTGGGCATATTTCAAGAAGCACGAATATATACTTTCCTAAAGATGTTACAAAAAATATGAAGTCATATATATATGTGCGCATGTGTGTGTTTGTGATGAAAACAAATTTAGAAGTACTGATATAGGAATATTGTGATGTAGAAGTAATTGATGGCAGTATAGAACATAGGGAGAATTCTAATTGCCTAGAACACTAAAATATTGAATCCATAATGACTAAGAAACTTGGCAGCCAAGTAAGATTAAATATTCATTTTTATTTCAATTGATATTTGTGGCCACAATTTATTTTTTGTGCTCTAATCGTGCCTATTTCCAGAATATTTACATTTTTGATACTGTTGTGATTGAAAGAGAGCAGAATGAAATAGCTCCAAGCCACACAGAGGCAGGAGCAAAAGTGCACAATTATCCAGTATGGAAGCTCACCAAGAGAAGGTTTTGGTTTAGGTTTCAGTTCTCAAAAATTTGAGCTCAAGTTCCGAATTAGCTATGTCATGAGTGTTACACAAGTCATGTGAAAGAAATTAATTTAGAAATGGTGCAGTCCAGAAAAGTTATTACTACTTTTAGAATACAAAAAGGAAATACCCAAATTAAAAATAAGGAATTAAGAGGCTATTATTAAATTAAATTATAAACCTGATTTACATACTTTTTTATTTTATGCATATATGTATATATAGAGAGAGAGAGAGATCCTTGCCAGTCAGAGGGGGTTATAGCAGTCAACTGCTTCTCCACAACTTTATTGACTTTTTATTAATGCCATGAAGGCATTTTGCCGATGATATCTGCTAAGTTTCTCTCTCTTACATGCTCCCCCCTCTTAAAAAGAAAAAGAAAAAAAACAAGATAATTTTTCCTAATCCTACAAAGAACTTTGGTTATTCAGCTACTAGTCTCTGTCAGGCAGCCAAATAAAGTCTTGGAAGAAGCAAAATGTTAACATATGCAAAATTATTGTCTCCATATCATTAAGATTTGGGCAGTCATAGAGGTGATTGTTAGTCATGTCAGCTAGGCCATATAACAGGCACATGCAAATTTTCTAGACCCATATGATGCAGATGTTTTTGTAAACAATCATGGCCCATAGTGAGAAGAAAATTTGCTAAACCCACAGCTCTAGGAAGATTATGGAAATGTTTTCAATAAGAAATTAGAAATCCAGGGCCTCTCCCTGACCAGTTTTCAAAGACATTTCATAAATATAAACTGATAGTGGATTTAATGACTGATGGTGGATAAAATTTGCATAATAGTTCCTTCTTTATTGTTTTCCCTGCATTTGGTGTATTATACACAAGGTAGAGACTGTCTGTCCCTTAGCAAATACCATGCAGTGTAGTTATCTATGAAAAAGTATCCTGGCCCCCTTTTTTGGAGAAGGATATAATTTATTAGGATGGGCCAGAAGGTTTAGATCAAGAAGATTCGTCCTGCATAATGCACAGTTGTGCCATTTTCATATAAAATCAATTTTTTTTAAATAATATATAAATTATAGTATCTATATTTGTGCTTTAGATGAATTCTAACTGAAAAATGTATAAATTTAATAAATTAATTTGTTATAAAAATTATAATATACATGCAATGTTTAATTAATTATGTATTTGTAAAGAGAAAGATTTGATCCTTCAGACAAACAAAAAAAAAATTACACTGCTGCTTAAAAAAAATAAGCAATTAAAAAATAAAGAATAAAGGTTATGAGCTGTGAGGGAGAAGGGTAATCCAAATGCTGAACCTGGAATGCATTAACTTTTTTTTTGTTATATATATATATTGCAACAAGGTTAAAAGAAATAACAATTATAGAAAACTTAGAAGCCTGGAAGCGATGTAATACATTGCTTATGTCACCTATATTCATATAAGTGGAATCCTATTTTAATAAGCAGATTTTCAGATCACAGATATGTGGATGAAATCCACATCATTACACTTTGCCTTTGAAATCATTACACTTTGCCAGTATCAGGAGGATTGATGCATATATCACACAGCACAAACTTGCCACAAAAATTACAGTATGTAGATAATTGCATTCAGTATCATCATATAACATTGTCAGAACTGTACTCACTTTCATTTTTTCAATATCATCTCTCTCTCCATAAAAAGTAGCTGACCTTTTCTGTTTGAAAGTCTTTTTAGAAGTAGCTGGTTCTTCATCATCTGAATGATCATCAGCTTTCTCTAAAATAAGTAGTTAAAAAGAAATAACAATTAGCAGAGTTTCGAATGAAAAAATTATTCTTTCTCTTCCCTGAGAACTGAATCTGAAGCATTTACATGGCCTGATTTGAATCCTAATATTGTACTATAATTTTAGCAAATCAGAGCTATCAATCAAATAACACTTTGTTTAGAAATATAAATTTCAGTTTATCAATTATTACAAACAATTAAACTTCATAATTCATGTGGATACCAAAATAACAGTCAGTTGAAAAATATATTGTAATTTTGTTATCACACTTAACTATTAAATTTATAAAGAAATTTAAGAATGAGAAAAAAATGGCTCAATTTAAATTTCTATTTTGTTTTCTTAAAATAGAAATCATACTCCTTGATTTATCATACTCCTTGATTTATAAAGAAATAAAAAGATGTGCCTGCAGTGTACACAAACAAGAAATACAGTCATTACAGTTTCAAATTTCCCACGCCATTTATTTAGATAAAACGGCTCCAAAAGTTGAAGAAATATGTTTAACTGAATATAGCTTTGGCGTGTGTGTAAGTTCCCACTGCAGTGGAGATACGTATAGTTCAAGTATTCCATCATAGTTATCTCATGCTCAGCTGTTCATGCTGCCGCCATCTGAAAATATATAGTTTATCTGCTCTGAGAAGTTGGAATAACATACAGTAGCTTCTGTTTTTAACAAATGCATTTGTGTTAATAAAGTTAATTGTTTTATGTAACGAGGATCATAACTTGTAAGAACCAACAGCAGTACACACCAAAAACCTTACAATGACTCATTTACATGCATGAAAAAATTGTATACCCTAATAATACAAATTTTATAAAAGTGAATGGATTTCATACCTGAAATGTATCAAACCTATATTTCTACACATAAGAAAATGTTATTAAAAAGGGAGTAGTCTTCATTTGACTATTAGAAGATAAACGTAAACATAATATTCTACTCGAATATAATTTTAATTATTTGAACTTCAATAATGTCATAAATATAAAGATATTTATACTCAGAGAATTTTCTGTTAATGTAAATAACTTAAAAATGAATAAAAATTAAAATTCAATGCCATTAATTTTATAATTTCAGTTCTACCTGTATCCCTTCCTGGAAAAAAGAATTTCAACATCGCTTTGTAAAATGCTTCTGTCAATCCGATTGTTATTGGCACAACATTTACTTCAAGATGTTCTTTTATAGAAATTCCACCAACAGGGGCTCTTTCTCGACAATAAATCCTCAGTAAGCACTGCCTATCAAGAGGGATTTTTGTCTGCACATCAGTAGGCTGCAGCACAATCTAATTGAAAACAAAATATTTCAGTCAAAACAAAAATACTATTTAAACAATAAGATAATATAATAATACAGAGTTTAAAGCTTCATAATGGAAAGTTTACTACTTCATTATTACACACATAAATACAATTCAAATATGCCAGAATACAACAAAATCTAATTTAATAAGAATAGAATGACTGACATATAAATGAATAATGAAGAATTTTAAAGCTAGTAATTTTTAAGATTTTAAATACTGAATGAAAACTTTACTGTAATAATTGAGCTAATGCTCATAAAATTTTACCTGGACTATATGTTTTAAGCACTCTAAACTAATATAATTTGATAACTACTGCAAAGATGTTCTATGCATACATTTATATATATTGCTACTTTTCTAGACAAATGCTAATAATGATTCAATAATAAATAAATTTTAAAATGATAATAATAATACAAAAAAAAGAATTTGAAGACACTTTGGATTTATAAATTTTTACTTGAAATAAATTAATAATAAACATAAAATTTTTTTAAAAATAAATCTATAAATTCAGTGTAATATGAAAATTCAATTAATATATATATTTGATTAATATTAAAATTTTAAAAAGTTTAAATTTTTTGTTTTAGAAAATAAACATTGTCAGAAATTTTGTAATAAAAATACAAATGCTTATACGCATTTGAACCTACAGTTTTGCATTTCAGTGCATAATTCTTAAAAAAAGAATTTAAACCTTTAACTTAAAATAAGCATATACATTATACAGGGTCATACCAAAAGTTTCTGTGTTTTTTTAAACAGAAGTGCATTTTCTTCTAATTATTTTGTTACTGCTGATATGGAGTGACCAAGACTGAAATGGATGTTTTAAATACAGTCTTTTCTGCTCACATTGCATAATTCTAGCATGTGTTGTGCCCCAACTTTTGCTTTTGTGCATTGCTATGAACCGAGAGCCCAAAAATTCATTTTCAACACATTAAAACTTTTTTGATTTACAAAAATAAAGGGGGGAGAGATGCTATTTAGACCACTCATAAAATTTGTGCTATATATATATATATATACATGTATATATATATATGGAAAAAGTGACGTTTCTAATGATACGGTTTAAAGCTGGTTTTAGAAGCATGTAAATTTCAACCTCTAAAACAGTTGCAGCTTAGATGACCATCTTTTACAAACAAGGACTAAAAAGATGTTATCTCTGAAAATCCAAATTATATAGCTCAGAAATTATCAGTCAGAAAAGGCATCCCAAAAAGTACAGCATATGATCATTCGAAGAAGAATGGATATGTAATCTGGTATTATGTAGTGTATGGTGGGATTATAAATAAATTGTACGTTATGAATTGTTGCCACCAAATCAGGCAATAAATTCAGAAAAATACTCTTCCAAAATTATTGTTTTAAAAGCAAATATTGAGGCAAAAGTGCCCGGAATTGGCCAATCTTCAAGGTGTTGTCTTTCATCATAAATATATTTAGCCCCATATTTCAATGAATGTCAGATAAAAATTTGAGTATGGCTGAGGCATTCTGTGTTACCCCAATATTCACTAGATCTGGCCCTCTCAGATTTTAATCTCTTCAGATCACATCAAAATTTTCTAAATGGCCTGGAGTTCCCTTCTTTGGAGACTATCAGAGGTGATGTAGTGGTGTATTTAATTATGGCAAAGCATATTAGGGCTATCTGCCTAAGGGGAGGGATGCCTTCATGGAGGACTTTCTAAGGGAAAGTGGCACGTTACACATGGGGAAATCCACGAAAACACACATGCAGCCAGCCCATTCACGGGATTCGAACCTCGGACCGAACTACCAGTGTTCACCGACTTTACCGCTCAGCCGCTGGTTGGCGGAGACTATCTGAGAGCATGTCAATAACTTCCTTACAAATAAACCTATTCACTTTTTTAAAAGGGAAATTTCCAGCTGCCTGAAAGATGGCAAAAAGGTCATAGAATAAAATGATTATTATGTGATTCACTAAAAGTTTCTCTGTTTTTGTGCTACTTACTCTGCATTTATCATGGAAAAAAATCTGATGTGTACACCACATGACTTCCTTGTATTGGAATATTAAATTATACACATTTTTTCTTGCATTTCATTTAAACTTATTGGATTGAATTAAATCTACTTCGCCGACAGCACATAAACCACAATAGAATAAATACATTCTTTAAAACTCACTCTAGTATTTGTTTACCATAGCGACACTCTAGCGCTAGATTCACTTAACAGTATTAATAATTATATAACAGTTAACTTATATAATAATTATATAATGGAAACTAAATTAACTGTTATATAATCCAATAATTATATAACAGTTAACGTATATATTTCGTTCATATTATAACTCATAATGCACAAAATTTATATCATTTAAAGAATAGAATTATCTAATCGTTGCCACATGTTCTATTCAAATACTATAATAAAGCTAGATGATGTATAAAAGAAATTAAGCAAAAACAGAACAAAAAAAGAAACAGTTTTTTTTCACAGACGATTGAGTATTTCTCATTTAATTAATTCAGTTCTCACTTCACGAGAAGGCAAAAATACATAAAAACTCAAAATATCTATATTAAAAATTATGAAGTAAATCTCAAACACTTATTTCCTCAAAAAAATTCCAGAGAGAATTAAGCATGATTTAATTGGCAATAATAAATGAATGCATTATCTTTGTTGTTGCGAAGCTAAGTTTCTCTAGATTGGCAACAAATCCACTAGTCTCCTGTTTCAAATGTAAACATCAATGGCCGCCATTAAAAACAGGCTCAGCGGCAATTAAACAACTTTAAAATTGCTGATAATTCTAAAAATATTGCACACAGATTTACCAAAGGCATAAAAACCTTAACTGGAAGATAAGAACAACATAATTCAGTCATTTTTAAAGCAAAAAATGCAAAATTTACAGACATATAAGAATAAAGAAACTGAGATTACTGAGCCGAGTAACATAGTGGATATATATATAGATATATTTATATACATTTGGTGCGGCCGATTGCAACCAAAATACGAGGTGCACATCTACATGTTATAGCAGTCCTATATACAAAATTTCAACATTCTGAGGCTACTCGTTTTTGAGTTATGTGAGATACGTATGTACATATGCACGTACATTCGTACAGACGCCACGAAAAATTCTCTTCAGAATTAATTTTAAAGCAGTTTTATAATTTTTTTGAAGGAAAAGAGTATTTCATTCTGTCCTTACGTACAGATATCACGCAAAAACGTCGTTAAATTGCATTCAATAGCGGTCAAAATGGATATTTTCATTGAAATATGCTGCCTGGAACTTTTCGCAATTACAATACTTCCTTTTTACTTCGTACAAGGAAGTAAAAACACAGAATTTTTCAGATGATTCAATAAAATAAAAAATTAATTCCCCCCTCACACACACACACACCTCAGCTACTATCTTGAATAAATATGAATTTTATTTTCTACACCTTAGGTAAATGACTAATAACACTGGTTAACAGCAAAAAATTATCAGAGTAAAAAAAAAAAAAAAGAGTACCTGTTAATTTTGATCTGATGAACAAGAAAATAATTTTTAAAATTGTTTGTTAGTTCACATTTCAAAGATCTATGGATTAACACTTACCCGCACACTAATGAAATATCCCTGATATATGACTACATCCTCCCGATGTTTACCCTCAAAGGATGATGCAGTCGTCACAAAGTGTTGCTATTTCTTTAGACAGTTGCAAGACAGTATTCAAGCAAGGTGCTTTGTAAATGTGTTAATAACATGGACAGTTTTTCCTATATTAGTGGTGGGGTGACTTCCACGTTGCAGAGACGCAACATGACACCAATGGTTAAAAATGCTTACAATTTCTGGTTTGGCTGCAAAGTGGAAGACTGAGACATGACCTGGGTAATTTGTGCACTTTTGATCTGCGAAACTGGTGAAATCATAAAAAAATATCAATGCCACTTGTGAATGGTGTGGAAAGCCGTCAGATCATACGAGTGATTGCCATTTCTGCATGGTGCCTCCTGTAGAACAGGGAATGCGTGTATCGAAGGAAAAGAAGTCCATTTTAATATACCCAATTGTACTATCTGCTATACGACTAGTACCCCAGTGATGATCTGCTAATTCCTAAACTAGCAGAAACCTATTCCTCTGACTCGGAATTGGAAAAAAGTGCTGAAGTTTGTCATGTTATAAACATGCCGTCAACATCTTTGGATCCTGAGTATGCATCCAATATTTCACATAGACAGCCTCACATGATAACTCAAGCTGAATTTAAAGATCTAGTGAGAGACCTAGATTTGCCAAAAAATAAGGCGAACCTGTTACATTGCGATCTTTTGGAAAACAGTGTGGTGATCACTCATTTTTTTACTTGTTAGAAAGATTTGAAGTGATTGTTTACTGACAGAGCCTTAAATTTTTGCCAGAACGTAAATAGTTTATTCAGAGCTCTCGATATGAATAATAAACTGGAAGAATAGAGATTGCTCATAGATAGTACCTGTTCAGCTTAAAAGCCATTTTGCTATGTATCAGTAATACAGTTTACCATAGATTTTCCTGGCCCTGCTGTTCATATTAAGGAATTGTGTGAAATTTGAAGAATCTCCTAAAGTTTATCAAATGCAAACACTATAAATGGCAAGTGTATGCAGATTTAAAAGTAGTTGCTCTTTTACTAGGGTTGCAATACTATACATGAAATTCTGCTGTTTTTTATGTGAATGGGATAGTCGAACATGGGCAGATCATTTTAAAAAGAAAGAATGGCCTACTAGACCAGAACCAGAACTACTCACTAAGTCCTTGGAACCAGGAAAAAAGAACGTGCAGCATGTGTCACTGATTCACCCACAAAGTTATTACTATCACCACTACACATAAAATTAGGGCTAATGAAGCATTTTGTGAAAGCGATGGATAAAAAGAGTGCAGCATTTAAATACCTTTGAGGCTAAATGAAGCAAAAATAAAG